CCGGGGAACTCAGAGTCTCTTTTCTTTTCTTCTCTTTGGCCTGCTTCGGGGCAGTTGGAAGTACTTCTTCATCACCAGACGGGGGCCTCATTGCAACATCCATTCCGAGGCCTCCAAAATAAAAAGATGAGTAAGCTCGAAGAAAAACCTAAACGATCACCGTTCTAAGAAGGAAACTCACCATGGTTACGTGCCTCTCATCGACCCTTCAACAACTCCATTCAAGCACGCTCTGAGTACGACCTCTATAATACGAGGCCTTCGACCCATTTTCTAAGACCCGAAATTGGGTCCGGCATCTGGGCCACAACTGTAACGCCAGAAAATATCAATAAAAAAGAAATAAGAAGAAAAGCAACGAGATTAAAACCTTCTGAGCAAAGCGCTACTTACGTTTCATGTTTCATTTCTCGGAAAATGGCATGTATTCAGCAGGGATTAGATCTGAAGTCCTTACTCGAACAAATCGACCCATCCAACCTCGGTCCCGACCTTCATCTATGCTCGAGAACAGAGCCTTATTGCCTTGGCGAGCAAGCTTGATCAACCCCCCTCGATAGAGTCGGGGACTATAGAGGCGCACAAGGTGGTCGAGGGTAAAAGGACATCCCTCGATTTTGCTTACAAAAAATTGGAGAAGAATCACTATTCTCCAGAAAGAGGGGTGGATTGCCGAGGGTCACATCATACCTTTTACAAAAGGCAATAATGATGGGATCTAAGGGACCCAATATAAAGGGGTAAGTGTAAACNTCAATAATGTTGGGATTTAAGGGACTCAATGTAAAGGGGTAAGTGTAAACACTTAAAACCCCTCCAACGAAGGTAGTGATCGATTCCTCGGGCGAAGGAACCACCACATGCTTATCGACCCAGTTGCATTCATGTTTAACCCTAGGGAGGAGTTTTTCGGTGATAGTAGATATGTACCTCGAGATCAGTACATATCGGCTCGCTACCAAAGAGGCCTTTTCCACCCTAAAATCAGTAACAGTCGGGCACCCTACCAGAACGAATTTCTCAGGGTGAGGTTCCGCCATAGCCTCACCACCGGCGGGCCGTGATGAAGAAGCAACTTCCTTTTGCGGTACGATTTTGGAAGTTTTCGCCATTTATGAGTAAAGGAAAAGAGAATTAGGATGATATGCAGTTTGATTAGAGTTCTAGAAATTTTGGTGCAAGAATTGTGGAGCAAAAGGATTTTTTTCCTGAAGAAGAAGCAAGAGTAGAAAGAGCTTTTTAATGTGAAAGTTTGAATACTTATAGCTTGGTGATGACGGTTCAGAACTGGTAGTGGCCGACCAACGACTGACAGGCATTTAATGCCTTGGTAATTGCACCGACGGGATGTTTTGTCACATAAGTCATAATCGGGCTCGTCGCTGACGTCATTACCCATTTCGGAAATTCATATCGTTTCTCGCCATCTTCTTTCCGAGAAACGAAAGGACTATCTGTATACGGTCAAAATCGAACCTGCCTTTCACGTGACTTATCGAGAGTAGAACATGACTGTGCAATGTTCAACCTCGTGTAATATCGAGCCATAATGCGAAGTTAGGTTGTCGAGTTCGTGACCCAGAGACCGATCAAGGTCGAGATCGAGCAAAATAGAGACCGATCAAGATCGAGATCGGCCAAGATCGAAGAAAGCTTATCGAGCCAAAAAATAGAAAGCCAAAATATCTGTAGTTAGGCGAGAATCTCGGCAGAAAGCCCGACGCATATCAAGGAGAGGCCAATTAATTAATCTATCATGGGATTCCTTGTTGTATTTAGAAATTATATTAAGAATAGGACTTTTCGGCTATATAAAGGGGGTCTGATCATTTGTAAGGGGGATATTCATTCATAGAATAAAAAAGCAATATACTGCATTTCTTCTGATTTTCAATATTCCGTCATTTTGTTCTACTATCAATTTACCCTCCATTTAGTTTGAGGGTGATCAAACTTGAGGGCCTAGGCTAATTGATTCATTCGGTTTGCATTCATTTCGTTTACAACCAATTTCGATACCAATATTTATATTTTCTCTATTTGTACCAAGCTATATATCACGTATTCTTAAAACCACGTACAAATTCAATTGTTATCCATTTTTCGGGTAAACAACTTCCTATAGCTACCATATACATAATTACTTCCTATAGCTACTATTCAGTTGTTACGGTAGTGTATTTGATGTATCCGCGCTGTTATCAGCAAAAAGTGCCTAAAATCAGGGTAATCTAGTTGTACGCGCATGTATTCACATGTATCCGCGCCTAAGTTGCTCCGACATGGCAGTTTAGGTGCCGCACCCGTGTCGACACGACACTAGTATGTGTGTGGGTATGGGATCCATACCGGATCTGTTCAAATAATTTTGGGTACTTTGACCACGACGGACAGAAAAATTTGAGATGAGATACAATTTGATTACCGAAATCAGAACTAAAACCAAGATAAATTTGAAGAAAATAGCATATCTTATCTAGGAAATCAATCTTTTACTTATGTACAACTTGAGAATAAAAAGAAAATCCACACTTTACAAGTTATACGTAAGTATTCCACAAAATTTCTCATAAATTAGAGAGATTTATATATTTTTTTAAATTATTTTTAGCAGGATCTCCGCACCCATATTCGTACTAGGATTCGTATCCCCGAATCTTAAAATTACATATTGAAAGATCCGACCTCTAGATCTGCATCCGTGTCGGACACCCATACCCGTGTCCGAGCAACTTAGATTCGTGTTGCGCCTAAAATCAGGGCAGTCAAATTGTACGCCCATGTATTCACGTATATTCGCGCCATGTATTCATGAATACAGTAACGACAATCACCTTAAAATAGATATGTCCAGCTGTCTAATAACGAAAATAATATCAATTAGCGTGATACACTCCTAATATAACTCAACAAAATCAATTCTAACATGCCTCATTATCAACCCAATAATTATAATTATTTTTCAATTGTATATAGGTGTTGTATTTAACTTTTGTATTTAGTGTGTTTCAATATTTAGTCTTCTACTGTTGCATTCATTAGATTCAATGTTTGTATTTACCGTATTCGTTATTTTATATTTAGTGTATTCAAATGTATTTGTATTAACAGTATTTTAGTTATTCCTAATACATGTTATTACTATTGTATTCAGTATATTTCATTGGTTGTATTCACTGTATTTCTATTTGAATTCAGTGTATTTTTTTTTTTACTGTATTTCGCTATATTCTACTCTATTTTAATGTTTGTATTATGTGTATTTCAATGTTTATATCCGGTATTCATGCATGAATACATGTATTTATACAAATCTTCAAAATACATACATACATGCAAAGAATAATGTATTTATACAAACATACAATGTATTTGAGTGAATTTATATATAATACAATGTATTTGTATCATTGTATGTGACTAAACAGCAAAGAAGAGAAGAAAGTTCGCCGGAGATGGCATTTTCCGGTCATGTAAAATATTGTATACATTGTATTAAAATAAAAAATGGAGACGAACAAAAACACCGGCCCTTGAATCTTCTCCGGCGTAAAAAATATTATAGTATCCGTGTAGAGGAATCCATTGCAATATCCAGCGTAGAAGAAAGCCGCAGTCTCTTTCTTTCTAATATTGCAGTACAAATTCATTGCAAATATCCGGCGTAGAAACTAAGCAGTATAAATCTATTACAATATCTGGCGTAGAAACGAGTCCAATAATGTTTTGATTCAACTTTTCAAGAGTCGATGCTCTCTGATAAACCTCAAACACCGTGAACGCTCTTTTTGACCATTTTGTGTTAATCATGTTCTTGTTTTAATTAGTTTGAGCAAAATTAAGATCTGGCAATCATGTTCAGCGATTCCAATATTCGGCCAGATGAGAAGATTGTGTTCGAAGAGAGAGAAGGAAGAGAGATTGAAGAAAAAATTTGCTAAGATTTTAAGAGAGAATCGTGTGTTAACTGAAAGAAAGCGAACTAAATAAAATGTGATGATAATGTGGTTGTTAATACGCTATTAATCAGACTATATGTACTAAAATTCATCCATGGCTAGTTCCTCTGGGCAAGCTGCAATTTGAGGTGTGACAATTATTTATATTAAAGAGATTTGCATAAAAGTACAGCCTAACACAAGCACCTACGTAGCTATATTTAATTTTTAAGTTTATAGCCGTAGTTTATACACCCGGTACACAGTGCTGGGCACAGGTGAATGTTGTTAGACGTGCACCTTCACAGAGGCGCGGAATCAGGTTTTTAATACCATGAATACATCACGATACTTGTCATAATATCAAGATAATATCAAGTGACATATATATTTTTAGTGTTTTATAACATATTAATAATTTTGCACATTATTCAACGAGATAAACTATAATCTTGCCGATATAAATCTGTGTTTGTCATTAATATTATCAATTATAATCTGACAATCATTGCATAATGTTTATCTTTAATCATGTTCAGGTTTTACCATAAAATTCAAAATAAAAAGGGAAAGCAGAATACTAATGAAAATTTAATACTGTAAAAATTGAAACTTTGCAAATTTTTATAGCTAAAAGAAGAATATTGAAAATATCAAAAAGCTCTTAGAGCATATGACGAGTTCTTTATATGTGAATTGCTTATCCAAAAAAAGAAAAAGTATATTTTATCCTAAAAATTTGAAAAAGAATTTCAATAATTTGATTGAAATTCAAATATGTTTAAGCAATAATTAAACAAGTCTCGTCACGGACTTAGATCTTATCATCACATAAATTATTTATAATAAAACCAATTTATAATAGTTCAAGATAAGATAAATCTCGATGGAAGTAATAAGTAGTTTAATATCTGACTCCTTAAGTTGTTGTTTACCCGAAGACTTGGAGAAGGGGATAAAATAGGAAAGAATGATAAGAAGGAAAAAAAGTAGAATTAGAACAAGCAAAAGAGCTACGAAGTACAAATTAAATACGTACACTTGTGACGTAACATGTCAAAGTCGCATCAAAATAATTTACTATTTATCAGTTTTTGTCTGTAGTGAATATGATAAAGGGGAGCATCAAAGCAAACTGACAACTACAAGAAAACATTTAGTAAAAATCAAAAGATTAATGGAGCTGGGGCAGTTTGCGATCAATCACTGTTATATGGAAATCAACAATTAGGTGGCTGATACTTTGGCTAACTTAGGAGTACTAAACAAGTTCAAAACTATCTTCAATACGGCTATATCCACGCCATCTCAGGTTAAAGCCGCAATGAAGATGGACCGAATGAACATGCCTACCACAAGTTCATTATTAATGACTTATTATTATGTAAATATCCTTCTCAATGAAACTGTTTGAAATATTTTTTGAAAGTTAATTAAGCAAATGCATTAAAAGGAAAGTAAACAAATATTAGCTAAAAGATGCATAAACTAAAGAAATCTCTACATTCTAAGCTAAAATATGTTTAACAAGTTTGTGATAAAAGGACTAACACTTCCCTGAAAGAAACTACATTGTTGATCCGTGCAACTATTAAAATGACTGAATAAGTAAAATTAATTACTAGTGGCTGTCACTGGAACCAATCAGAACTGCAGATCGCACAAGTAAAGCTTAAAAACAGAATAACAACAATATACCCGGTGAAGTCCTAGAAGTGAAATCTGGAGAGGGTAGTGTGTTCGCAGATCTTACCCCTACCTCGTGGAGGTAGAGAAAGCTTAAAATAGACTGCGCTATTTAATGACTAGGACTCGTGTAGGAGGAGCTTTGAAGCATAATGGAACATGATTAAAAAGGAATGTTACAACATTTAGTATGGTGATAATTAACTCTTACCTATGGGGAAAAACCTAAGGATGGATTCAATGAGTAATTCAAAGAGCAATCATAGAAAGAGCACGCAAGCTTTCCTCGTCTGTTTCCCAGAACTGTGAATGTCTTGAACGTGTAAACCTCTCATACACAAGCCGAACACCTCTTTCCCATCGACGAGCAGATTGAGAATTGACGGTGATTTGGCTCATTTGGAAGAAAAAAAGCCTAAAAGAATGGACCAAATTGGAGTAAATTTGGTGAGGAGTTTTGAAACTACAAGTTGCTAGTCTTATCAGAAAAGGGAATAACAAGCTTACTATTAAAGGAGTATTTATAGAACTCTGAGAAGATACCATCAGATTCAGCTTTACAACAATCAATAAATGCAAACCCATGAATTGTTAGTTTATTCTGATGGTTTGGTATCTTTATTCTTGTGCAGCAAATGGATGGATATTATGTAAGTGAGAAGAAGGATTTTGGAGTGGCTTTGGAGATAACAATAAATAGATACCAAAATAAATAGATACAATACATATTTTAGTGGATGAGAAGTCAAAATCATGACAACTTCTTCGTATTCCTCATAGTACTAGTAATTGGTCCTCGGAAATTAAACACTAAGGGATCGTTTGGGTCGGACACAATACTTAAACAGAGGTGGTATGCACCAAAAGTCACAATCTAGCTAAACTTTTATTGTCCCAGTAACACTAGAAGAATAAATGGTGATTGGAGACCACAAATATCTCATCCATTTAAATGCTTTGACTGGTGAAAATACAGTATATTTGTTGAGTAAATATAATTCCACATCATGTGAGAACTTTAGATTAGGACAAATGTTGCATGTGAGAACTTTAGATTAGGACAAATGTTGGGGCCTAGGTTTAGTCGAGGAAAATATCCTAGAGATTCAAAATAAAAAAATCAAGTGATAAAAAATCTTACCTATTTCATCGGCACGATAAGGTAAAATGATGGGACATGAAGGTGTTTTTTATGATTCCTATTCCTACTCATTCTTGATGTAAATGGAATTTTCATGAATTCTACTAGCATCCAATAATTTCCTTTTAAGAGACTCAAAATTGACAAATGGTCTAAACAATCTCGAAAAATATTAGTAATAATTTGGTAATGAGTAAGAGAGAAAAAAGACTGAAACTTGCAAGCCTAAAGGGATAGAAGGTTGCATAATGGAAACTCTCACTTATATATAGCTAGCTCCAAGCAGCTAATTATCTTTTCATTCTTTTTTTTAAAAAAAAAAACTATTAGAGAAAGGGGGAAGACAAAGGGGAAGGAGTATTACACAGGTGGCACTCATTGGCAGCTCCGCAAGCAGCGATACTTTCAACATACTACAAAACGCTTAGGAACATTAAAGTGTCAATCAATTTAATCTTCATTTTAGAACGTTAGATCAATCTTTTAGAATGTTCCATCAATCCAATCAAAATTACATAACCGAGATGCAAAACTTCTGCGCGCATGGCCACATTTGGCTAATACCTTTTTTATTTTGGCGGAAAAAAGGATGAAATCACAAAGTAACTCACGATCACGGAGTTGCAAACTCGGCAGTATTACAGAGCAAGTACTGGTGACAGTGAGAATCACTAGAACTCTAACGCCCTCGAAGCTGTGGCCTCAAAATTTGGGCTAGATTTTCATCGCAAATGTATTTATGCCACTTACAATGAGAAAATTAGGATGACTTACAGTTCTGGACTTGGATGGCATTGAGAAGATATACACTAATTGGCCAAGGACAATTGAGGCAGTCTTCGTCATAAGAAAGCATAATCTACAATGAGGTCACCAGTTGATGGATCGAAAGATGTTTTAATTTCTGCTGAGTGACAATCACTGGTTGTAGTGGTAGATCTATGGCTCCCCACGGCCACGGGCTCCTTCAGAAGTTTTACCCCTTGCTTCCAGTATCTTTGTTCTGAATCAGACAGAAGTTCATTAAGCTAATGCAACTTCACGTCAAGGATAAAGGGGTAACGTAATATTTTGTGAAAAGAAAACAGGACGCAAGTATTTGGCACTCCAAGCAAAATCCGACATGTCAAGCAATTTTCGTCTAGACTGACTTAAAGACATACCTGGTCCTGTAGACGAGACAATGGACTCTTCTGTATCCATCACCCAGTCAATCCAAAGAACAAATCCGTGACATTTTCCACGCGCAATAAATTCTACCTGCAACACCTTGGTTTCGTGAGCTAATGTCGCAAACTGCCTTTATTGTGAACAAAAATAGATCCTGCAGAATCTTGCTAGTAGCCATGTAAGACCTGATACCTGAGCTTTTCCAGAAGACAGGCTCATCGGTTTCAAGAAATTGAATTCCATGATAGTAACTATGTCACTCAGTTTCTGCAATATTCAATCTTAATTGTATTAACAAACAGATTTAGATTGTGTTGTAGATAGTCTCATTTGGAGCATTCTTCTTCATCAGAAATGATGTAAACTACCTTACTCTCCCCACATTGCCAGATTGAAAAAGGCAGAGTAGGATTCTCTTGTCCAGCAGGTAAACCTCCACATGCCCCTAATGTGGAATTGACAGCTGAATGATCAAAACCTTCAATATCTTGCAGGCACCTATGACTTCTCCAAAGGTCCTGCAAGAACAATTTAACATGTCATTCACATGATATTAAATCTTCACATGGTTAAAGCATTGAAGCTTACAGGAAGAGACATCGCACAAGCCTTTAACAATCCTTTGCAAGGGATAATTATCGCATCTTCTGATAGGATTGAATCCAATAAACTTCTTTGCTTCCTACAAACAATATCAAGATCAGCACAGATACTTATAAGTAAATCCCGTGAAAAAAGTTCCACACTTCTTATAGGTATTCTAACAACCCCCACCCCCACCAAAAAAATAGGAGAAGAAAGAGCAGTATAATTGAAGAATTGGAACAAAATTACCACAAAAAAAAAAGAAGCAGATATGCCATCGAGTGTAATGATAATAGGTCACACCTGCATTGCTGTCGTGGTCGTTTCTAATTTTCAGTATCTCCAACTCTGGAGATTGTTTTGCGAAATGGTAACCGCTCCATAAATGTAGAGCTCAGTATGATATGAATATTTTTATTCCTTGATACAGTAAACCCCATACCCTCCCCAAAACCCCGTAGCCAGTCCAATATCACTGTACTCCCTTGGTGATTCGAATCCCCAACCTTATGGTTGGAAGTAAAGGTTATTTACCACTAGGCTTTCACTCCCTTGCCAGCTCAGAATAATTTTAAATTATAGAATTATCTCATAAAGACTTTTAACAAACGAACTAATGCTCGTTTAGTAGTAACTGATAATATGGTTAGGTAGTTCTTTTGTGTTGATTGTGATTCCCACATGGCTTGCAGGAAAACGTGCTGTGCCTATGCATTCTGATTAAATTCAGGTGATTGATATAGGAAAATATGGAGTATTGTTCCTCATATTATTAGGCATAAGGTGGGTGATGTACAATAGTACAGTGCTGAAGCCGGAAGGGATGCAGAATGCAGAAAAAAAAAACTGAAGGACAGTTCCAGCATGTTCTTCTGGGCCATTTGGGGATAGATACAAACAATAGCTCCTTTGAAGGAAAGAAGTCAACTAGACACAGGTAAAGCATACTTCCCTCAATCTAATGTCTGGTGTAATCTAGAACTTGTAACGGATACAGGTGGCATCGTTGAATTTATAAGCTCCCTGCATAGTAGCTCAGTGAGACACTAGCTAAGGTTTTCTTTTTCACTAGCTAAGATTTCATTACATATTACGAATCATATATGTTATCAAAATTCTACAGTGCTAATGATATCACTCTTTTTCTGTGACACAAGACATAACTGCTGATCAGCACTGTTAAGAGATTATCAAAACAGAAGAGCTGGGCAAAATCACTAACAAAAGCAAATGCAAGAAAGAAGTAACAAGTATTAATCTACAGAGATAAAACTCCAAGATTGTTGTCAAAAACATAACATAAATTATTCAGCATTCACCGAATCATTTCAGTCATAATGTCAACCCAGTGAACTAGAATCAAAAGAACGAGTTACATCATTTACCAAAACCGCAGATTTTGCCATGGGAGCACACTGTTGTTTCCATAATAGAAAGGTTCTCCAACTATCATGTCAATCTACAAAGAAATAACAAATCATCAGCATTTGAAAGAAAATGGTATAGCTTTAGGCAGGCTAAGTTATATATTTGAGATATCGTGCAATATATGGTTGAAGAGACAACAAGAAGCAATCTTTTGCTCGAGGTTCAAGAGAAAAGATGTTAAATTTGGATTTTCTACCTTTCTCCGACTACTTTGAGAGGTCAACAGTTCACTCATCTTCTGGACTTCTACGTGATCCTTTAAATAACCATTTGAAGTCGCAACAGCTTGCAAATATTGCGCACCTTTCTCTTGAAATCCTGGAAACAGTGATAGCACATGAGACCCTTTTGCGAGATGGGCGAGAGCAACAGCCAAAAATAGGCTATCATCCACAACAACACACAGGGAGGGCAATTTCTGCTTCATCTGTAAGGAAGAAAGAAGCAAGATTAACTCTAACTGACAATTTGAAGTAAATAAAATTAGTAAACTAAACAAGCAGTTAGTTCCATGTAAAAGATAATAACATGCATGATCTTACAAAATAAGCACATATGATCAGTGATCTAGCTGACTTTGTTTTTCAGTATAACAGTTAATGCAGGAAGCAAAATGAAAAATGAAAAGATAGAAAAATAACAAGAAAAAGATTAACAGTAAACTTTTTTCATCAGATATTTTTTTTTGGTGAAGTAAGATAATTTTATTAAATGGCATCAAGAAGATGCATAGCAAAAATATACAACAAAAGTGTAGCTGCTCATATACAAAAACTTACTGAATAACTAAGGAGCAGACACAATCCAAAAAAGATTCAAAGCAAGTTACAAGGGCCTGGTTGAACCAAGTAAATAGATTGATTAGACAAGTTGCTTTAAGAGAGTGATTAGGAGTTGAAATCCCATCAAAACATCTGCGATTTCTCTCTTTCCAAATGCACCAAAATATAGTAGCAGGCACCATTTGCCAAGTTTTTTTTATGGAATTCCCAACTCTCCATGAGCACCAGCTCTCATAAGCATCCTTGATACTGTAAGGCATGACCCAGGCAAGTCTAAAAACTGATAAAAACATGTTCCTTATGTCAGCTGCTACTGTGCACTGAAGAAACAAATGTCTCACACTCTCATATTCCTCCTGGCACATAAAAAATCTGTTCACTGTAGGAATACTTCTTCTACTGAGGTTGTCTTGAGTAAGGCAGGCTTCCTACAGGCTTGTCCAGATAAAACCAATTACTTTTATAGGGAGCTTGGTTCTCCATATAAGCTTCCATTGCCATTTGTCAATCAGCTCTTTATTGGAGCAAAGATTGTCATATCCTCTTTTGACAGTATAGGTTCTATCTTTGGAATCTCCCCATTCCAGCTTGTCCTTCACCTGAGGGTTGACCTTAAAATCTGATAATTTTGAAAGCAATCTCAGCAGGTCATTTAGTTCCCAGTCATGGATATCTCTTCTGAACTGCAGTGCCCATGAGTTATCTTGCCAATAGTGCCCAATAGTGGAATCCTTGTTGCTGGCCAATACAAATAGACTTGGGTGTTCGTCTTTCAGAATCTCTGACCCTAACCATCTATCTTTCCAGAAAGAAATATGAGTTCCGTTCCCAAGCTTGAGTGATGACTTGAGTTGAAAGTCACCCCATAACTTTGAAATGTGTTTCCATGGCCCAGAACCATGTGGCAGTCTACTCTGTCTAGTACACCAGTTGTTAGCCACCTCATATTTTGCTCGGTCGTGCCTTACAGCATAAGGAGGGGGAACAAGATCATACTCATGAAGTAAAGAATCACCACACCAGCAACTAGGCATTCACAGTTTAAAGAAAGTGAGGGAGAAGGGAACTGGGAACAGGGAACTGAGAAACTACCAGTAAGCAGGCAACATCTGAACGCATATTGGCTTCGGTTCATCAAAAGCAAACAAAGGTACAGTCAACCAGCATGGATTGCAAACATCCGAACAGGTTTCCATTTTCAGTGTCCAGGTTAAGGTCCACAGCGTCCAATTCTAAAGAACTATACTTAATGAATGTACATGTACAAACATTCTTTTGGTAGGTGGTCCCAAGGGATAAATGTGCTAACTTACTGCATTTTTAATAGCATTTAGAATGGAGCATCTCCAACTGACGTCACTGTATAATGCAATTTTTTCTGGTGGCAAAGTGATTTGGTACTTCTGAGTACTGAGCTCACTTCGTCCAAGTTTCAGGTTCTGGGACAAAGTCTTCATTTCATATGAGATGCTAGTATCAGTGTGAACAGCCAGCAGATTAACTTCTTCATCCTTCAATAAAGACAAACCTTTCTTTGGGATGAACCAAACACACTGTTTCCAATGGTCACACCAGTTCTGACAACCTATAGTGCATGCAGATAAAAGCACAAATAAGGAGTTATTTTGACTGTGATATTTTTTTTTTGAGATGGTATTTTGACTGTGATATTAGAGAGCTTGTTACTCAACTTTCCATTTATAAGCATGTAAAAGATACCAACAGCAAATATAATGTGAAAGAATACTCCTTGGTTATATAAACAGCTTTTTAAAGAAAAGCATTAACCAGGAAATGAAGTAGGGAACTCTATACAACAATGTTGAAAGAACATCTCCACCTGGCTTTTTCTTTTGAGGTTAGGCAACGGGAGATATTTTAAAGAACCATTATAAAGTTTCATAAAGCCCTTCTCCAACTGTCTGTCACCCCAGGTAGCACACTTAACATGAATTTTGCCCTCGTGGTAAAAAGAAGGAAAAATGCAGAGATACTCTACTCACGGCTGATGGACGAATTTAGTCCTTCCACACAAGATGGGCAACTTATCCATTTTGGTGCAGTGGAGTAGAAGACAGTGCCTGTTTCATCAAGCTGGAGCAACCACCTAAAAAAAACCAACTCATAGTAATGTTTTCCACATAAGAATGTCAGAGCACACAATAACTTCAGCACCAAAATAATTACCATGAGATTATAGCATGAATAGTGCCAGTATCAGTAGCTTTTACACTCATTTCTGTTTCGCGATGACTCTCTGGCCTTCTCCAAAAGTCAAAATCAAATACTTTGAAGGGTTCTGATAGCTGTAGAAATAGAAGTGAGTGATATTTCAGAAGTTGTCAGTATAGAAACATCTTTTACTCTGAAGTACTTTACCAGTTTGATGTCTTTTAATGCATCACAATGCATGGAAAATTGTTGGCGTTTGACACATAAAGCTGTATCCATTTCGTCTGGAACAAGACGAATTTCATCTAGTACTCCTTTTTCATTGTTAAACAAATCGTGCAGCTTCCACAAATCTGAGCTTTCTACCATCTGAAAGGCAATGTGGGGAAAAAATAACTGATTTACAACCACAAGAACCCAGGGGTGGGAACATACCCTATTAATTTTAGCCCATCACAACCAAGAAATATTTGTTTTTTGATAAGTCATTAAGTCCATCACAACCAAGTAATATGATGGCACACAAGCTATTACTCACTAGCTAAGTTTAATAAATATAAAGGGAATATCCAATTTACAGATCTGAAATGAGCTTTAGTAACTATATTCATGATGATTTTATCCAAATTTTACTAAGAAGCACTTGCAACTGCATCCGTATTTAAGTTGATACAAACATAGTAAACCCAGCCTGACAATCAGGACATACAAGTATAAGAAGCAAGCTAAACTTATAACCTGACAATAGTAACACCATGTGATGCAGAGCTAGACCTAAAAATGAGTAAATCAAAGCTAACTATAAGCAGTAAACTAAACTTACAATCTGCAAAAGAATACTTAAACATAATAGCCTTGGTCAAACACCTGACCATATATCGTTGCTCGGTAAGGCACTGTTTTTGGATTGTCTGACAGTAGGTTGTCATGAGCATGCTGCAGAGTTGGAATTAACCCTTCTCCCAAAAGCTCAGAGTCGAGTATTTCACTAACCTGAATCAAAGGGTAAACAAATATCAAACACTCATGCAACGATGGCATACCCTTGGTTAACAATCAACCATTCAACCTATTTAAAACATAAAAAGCAATAAGCACTGGTCCAAAAAAACTTAAAGTAGGCGTCATGTTAAATAATGTTACATTACATCAACAAGATCAAAAAAGGATTGAAAATTGTTAAAATATTTAAACAGTAGATTATACGTGAAATTCTTCAAGTAAAATTGCACTGAATACATAATAATCTTTCTGATACCCAATTAGATGTTCTTGCAATGTATCCTGATTAGTTTATCAATCATAAGTACATGTTCAGCGGAAGTATGCCGATACTCTGAATCTTGTATATTATAAAATTAAAAAAGGCTAGTGTACTCACAAGCACATCTGCCCGTGAAGGCATGTCCACACCAACTTTTAATTCATCTGACCTCTTGTTAAGGATGCGGATTTTTCTCTGCATACCATTGGCATGCAAAACCTTCCGCATCAATTTTACCATTGGAAGATATGACTCACACGCGGTAACTATCCCCTTAGAACCTGAGCTCTCCACTGAATCTCCATGACCCATTGCTCGGGCTGCCATCATAGATAATAAACCAGTTCCCGCTCTGCAATTTGCATTATGAAGCAGAACCAAAGATATAAATATGTTGACTACCGAGCAACAAACCATACATCCACCTGTGGCAACTCTTAAGACCTCCCCAATTGTGGCAAAATTTTGTCAACACTAAGTCATAATCTATATAGACCAAGCTTTTCTCACCTTTTTTTCCTTATTTTCAGTTGGTGACTTTTACTTTATATATTATTGAGGTATATATTATCTTTCATCTATTATCATCACAAACCAATTTTTTTTAGCGTTTCGCCTTTCAATTGTTGCTTATTTCCGAAGAAGCTGAAATGGCAAAAAGCTTAAAACAGACCCTCCGTTTAGGTCTTGGATTTTCTGCTGATCCTATTCTTATAAATTAAAGGGGTTGGCTTTTTAGTAAAGCTAAATTATTTAGCAAAAACATTTCCCAAAACCATTTTTGGCCCGAGCCAAACACGCCCTTAAATAAACACATTATCAGGAAAATATAGTGAATACCCAATATCAAGAACATGGCACGGCTTGGTTATGGTCTTATCAATGGCTTCCCTGTAAGCTTTATTCCTACGAGTATCATTCAGCATGTCAAGGTACGAAGTATTTGCAAGAAGCTGCTTTGTATTACTATTTCCTGAAGCCTCGTCTTCTTCAATGATGACCCATTCGGAGTTTCCGGTAAGCGGGTCGACTTTGAGCTGGAACATTCGTGACCCGGAACTCATGCTTCGGACTGTGAACGCCTTTGAGCGAGATTTTGGAATGTTGTTAAAGGAAGGGAAAAATAATTTGGGGTTTAGGGTTTTAGGAAATAGGCACTGCATAGGTGTATGGAGTATTATGAAGAAATATTTGGTCTGATGGTGTATTTCATTTCTCCAGCAATTTTATTTACATGGCCAGTTTACATTCCTTACTTTTCCGAATTAGATTTTAAAAAAACCAAAATAGTCCCCAAGTTTCGTGATTAATTTAAAATTGTCCCTTAAATATAAGTAGAGTGTAGTCTCCAAATATTATTTAATCTAGAGGCAGACTTCTTTTATTTACATTCCTATCTTAAAATGATTCGACGCTAAAATACCATAATTTTAAACAAATGACCACTTATTCTTCTTTCTTAATCTATATTATTATAAAAGCACGAATGTTAAAACGTTAAATATTGAATGACTAAAATATCCCTAAAATATTGATAGACTTTTATACCCTTTGAAAAAAAATTAAGCTCCATTCTATGTTGGATAAAATTGTAATCTCTATTAGTATTTTAATACTATATGAACTAATATTTAAGATTTTCAAGTTGACTAAGAATTCGTCATTTCAGTCTCCTACCAAAACTTTATTTTTGAGTTTTCAATAATAAATACTTAACATACTTTAGAAAAACTATTATCATTAAGTTTTCTGTCTTATTTCAACTAAGTTACTTATTGATGGGAGAGATATCTCATGTTCCGTTTAGAATTTAAGGTGACGTGGTGCACTAACTCTATTTGAATTGCAATTGGAAAATATTTTATTTGCTTCGGTTTGTAGTGACATCATAACTCTTCCATCTTGGAAGTTTGAATCAACTTTGGGACAACCTATTGTAACTTGATTCCAAGTCAAAACGTTAAGTGCTCCAATATTTCTATAAAGAGACTCTTTTTACGGATTACAAGCCATGAAATTTAAGTGCCTGATTTTTTGAATTGAGAATGATAATCAACTGTGGAAGATCAACAAATCCTAGGAGATAAACTTCATATATTTTTTAAACCTACAACCATATTCTTATAGCATCAGAAGAAGTTGTTGATGGTTTTATTCGCAACGCCCAGTACGAAAATTTTTACTTCGTTGTTTCATAACGGTTTTATGTGTTCTAATCAAATATTATTAAAAATCAAAATAAATATTATTTCCCCTACATCTCTTTTTTCTTTTTGTCTTTTGGTTGTTGCTTATTTGCTTTATATATGTGCGTCACGATTAATCGTTCAAAATAAATTTCTGAAAAAATCTGGTTGAGAAGTACTTTCACATGCCCAATCAAGATTTATATTTGGAATGCTCCAATTTTATCTTTGTTCGTGCAATTTTATTATTTATCATACCAGTCTATTACTTTTTTGGTTTAAATCCTTGTATTAATTTTTATAAGATGAAGACAAAACATAATACCGCTTTAGGTACATATTGTTGAGGTTTTTTGTTTTTAAGATGAAATAGTCTTAAAATGAGGGTGAATGAGAAATGGAGGAAAAATAAAATTTTTGAGTAAAATTTTAAGTTTTCCCCTCTTAACAATGAGACATTGTCCCATATTGGAAGAGGAAAAGATTTTTGGTGGGTATATATATAATTGCCCTTCTTGTAGCTCTTAAAGAGTCAAGAAGAAAGCAAGCCTCGCGCCGTCGTCGTCGTCGCTCGCTCGGCTCGGCTTCGGCTACGGCTACGGCTACGGATTTGATTGATTGATTTTTTGGACCAAATTTATTTGTTAATAGTAAATATTAACGTAAGATTATC